AAAACGCCCCATGATCAGCTCCTCGGTCTCCTCGACCTCACACTTCAATAAAAATTCCTTAAATTCCATGGTGTATTGTTCCACGAGTTTAGTATCTTGTTTGAGGCTCAACATTTTCTCAATCATTTTCTGTCTATAATGGGGTGGCAAGAACACCGCATTCATCTCTTCTTTCATCCTATCCCATTGAGTAATTTGAGGCCTCCCTTCCCTCATCCTTCGTTTTTGCAAATTATCCCACCAAAGGGCAGCATATCCCTTCCCTTCAACTTCATAGCAGCAAGCTTCATTCTTTTGTCTTCAGACACCTCCCTCAGTTCAAAGGATCTTTCCATTGAGTATATCCATTCAAGATAGGCATCAGCATCGATCTTACCGTGAAATTCAGGTAATTCGATTTTATAGTTGAAAGATTCTTCTTGTCTTTCAACACGGATGGGTGGTGGCAAATGCCTTCCTCCTTGGCTAAGTCCTCCATGAAACAGTCCTCTCCCTCTTCCTCTAAAACCTCCACGTCCCAATACAAGGTGCTGGTCCTCTGTAACATCCCATTTTTCTATTGAATCGAGTCGTTGCTTAGAGTCGAACTTGGGTATTTGGGGGAGTAGTATTTTGGATGAGTGTTTTGGATGAGTGTTTCTAAGGCTTCATTCTTGGCCTTAAGAACTTCCATTTCCAACCTCATTTTCTCAATTGCTGAGGCTAGATCTTGATCTTCTGATATGACTTGTTTGTCCTTGTTAAGAGATGCTTGTTGGTTATTAAGCATAACTTGAAAACAAATGAAAATGAAAGAAGGTAAGATTGTTGGCTCTGATACCAACTGATGGCGTGGTGGAATGGGCTATGGTTTTGATAGAGAAACACGGTGCTACAGGAACTCAGAAGCATCCGTGCTACAGTACCTAAAAAAAAGATAGATGATTGTTTTTGGAAACAAACAAAACCCAATAGTTTTTGGAAACGAAGGCTAAGATAGTTAATGGTGAAGATTAAAATGAAAAAAGATAGATGATTGTTTTTGGAAACAAACAAAACCCAATAGTTTTTGGAAACTAATAAAACCCAAATGTGATTAGCACTTTCTTGTTATTCCAAATCTCCCTTTCAAAATACACAAAATCCCTTTATATAGGGAAACAAGAGATAGTCATAAACTCCCTTTGAATGTGTTGTTCAAAGACACAATTTCAAAGGATACCTAACTAGGTTGAAAACAACACATTCAAAGATACACCTAACTAGGTTGAAAACAACTTTATTCAAAGGGGACACCTAACAATTTTGAAATAAACTCATTTCAAAGGCACAATGGTCAAAGAACACCTAACTAAGTGAAACAACACAAATGAAGCTTGGAATTCTATAGTCAATGATCAAACAATGCTCCTTGATTATTGTCTTTCAAAGATGATGTTTGAAGGGAACCCAAAATGGCCCTAAAAAGGAAGCGTTGTAGCTTCAGATTGAACATGTTCACTCCCACCAAGCCCTCTTTACTTGGACTGTCTTCATTAACTTCACTAATGGAATCAAGACCAAGGCCCAATCTTTACTTGGACTGTCTTCATTAACTTCACTAATGGAATCAAGACCAAGGCCCATGTCTAGGACAGCTTGTAAGGCTAGGCTAGATGGACCTCCATCACGTAGTAAGCTAAAACTATACCAGACAAGACTCATGTTCAATAGAAATGACCTCAAGCTCAATATCATCAACATTCAAATATCATAAGTCGTGGCCTCACTTAGCTCGTATCATCATATTCAATAATAAGTTAATTTCCAAAGTTCTTTAGGCCCGTCTCAATATATTACATAATGGAAACTTTAATAAGTAATACATCAATAATTTCTAAATTTATTACACATGACTATTGTAACTATGGAATAATCTAAAAACTTAAAATTTGAAAATATTTATCGAGGTTTCTTCTAGACGTCTAATGATAGGGGACAACGAGTTATTGGAAGGCCAGTAACCTGAAAACATATTAAGGTAAGGATGAGCGCGAGCGCCTAAAGTCAGTGAGCTAGAAAGCCCCTCTCATCCCACACAATCATACTAATGTGTATATAAATCAATCTAGTCCTTCGACTAATTATATGGTCATGCAGTCGATCACATAAATGACATTGCAATAACAATCACAAATATTAACACAGTCACATAATCACGTCAAGTGGAGATTGGTTAGTAACGTCACTAAACCCCCCCTCCCCGACAAGTTGTCCTCATATATGGCGCGTGCCCTCGTCACTGTGCACCAAGGAGCCGATCCCTGTCTCAACCTCACTTGACCAGCCCTCTTTGCTTTTTCATACCAATAGGAGGCCACCCTATGATTTTCCATATCATCTATATCATATTTCATCATATGCACACGGGATTGTCGATCTCCCCATACGTGGCTGATGGTATCATAGATTGTCCTCACAAACCCAGCGATGACCCACTTCATTCCAATTCCATACAAACAAAGCATACATGTATCACACCACTACTAATCAAACAATGTTCATTAGCAACGAATGGTCCAGCACAAATGACAATTTATCAAGTAATGCATGTATAACATTTAGTCGTGTATGCATAAATGAAAAATGTAGGTGGATGATGTAATTATCTAACACTACTCTGCTTCGAAGCCTTAAGAGGGACAGTTGTTGGCTCTCCTTTTGGGCGAGGAGAAAGTAAGCGCGACCCAGCGAGACCTACTCCCACTTACTCTAGTTGCGTTCGTGAACATGGGGAGAAAGCAAGACCTGTATTCATTATATAAGCTTGGAGATCAAGTTTGAGAAGAAGTAACTGAGACAAAAGAAAAGGCTTCTCTTAGCCAGTCAAATCAAGGCTCAAGAGACCTGTTGTTCAATCAAGTAGCTTGGATTCTATACCCATAGCCTCCTACGGTCCTCTTTAGGGTGTTGGCTCGCTGGAAACTATGGTCGTTTGGCCGAAAAATGGGAAAGGAGGAAGGGGTCTGTCGGTGATGGAGAGGAGAAAATGAAGTTCTGTTGGCTTTCTCTCTCCTCATTGATTGGCTTATAACTGATTTGGTTTAATTCAAAGGGTTTGGTTCAATTATTGGAAGCTATTTGGTTTAATTCAAAGGGTTTGGTTCAATTATTGGAAGCTTCTAAGTCCTTAATTTATTTCTACTGGTTTGATTTAGTGTCTAGAATATTTTTTCATTTTACTCAATAATAATAATAATAATAATAACAATAATAATAATAATATTTGAGTTTAGGATAATTAATTTAAATAGTAGTCATATACAGTTTTTTTAATTAATTTAATATTGAAAGCTCAACATTTATTTTTGAAAATTTTTGAAGGTTCTCGACTAGGAATACCGATAAAATGTTTTTGTGCTTGAGTTCGACTTTACGAATTTGAGTTTGGAATATAATTATTTGACACTTATAGCTCATATGATCAAAAATCCAGAATTTTAGTTTCATTGTAAAGAGATTTAAAGCAAGGGTATTATCTTAATCTGGAATTAAAATTAGAGAAATTTAAAATTTGTGTAAGGATAACTTAGGTGTTTATGTGGGGTATTGTAGCTAGAAGAGTAATCTTAAGGTCTTAAGGTCTTAAGGTCTTTTATAGGTGATTATAGGATTGAATATGCTAGATTACATGACTATGTAGATGATATTAAGAACCAATCATGGGTCAACTTGTTCTGCAAGGTGCAAGAGGAGAGATGACGGAATGCAAAATGTTAAGAAATTTTATATGTGCCTTTATGCATGCAAGTAGGGTTTTTAGAAGGTTATATGACTATTTTTAGACTAGATGGGTGTTTTTGAAAGTTCCAATAAGAGGGCAATTCTTGTTTGTGTATCTAAAGATGGGAACAATTAGATATTTCCTATAGCTTGGGAGAATATAGAATTGGACTTGGTTCATATCCACACTCAAGCAACTACTAGACTAGGATGGATAGTAGTAACTAATATGCAAAAATAGAATGGACGTAAAAATTGGACAGTTTCTAATACTTTATTCATTTTGCTGTCAGCAATCCACATCGTATGGATGGAGATAGGATAAGCTGTCCATATAATCTAAAGAAATGCAAAAATAGAGCATGCTATGATATTGAAGCAATTAACCTCCACTTACGCAGAGATGAATTTGTAGAAAATTAATATCAATGGGTATATCATGGTGAATTTCAAAATTCTTCTAATTTCCATGGACAATCTAGTGCTTCGAATAATCAGGGTATGGAATTGCAGTTGGATCCAATTATGTGATCCCATGAAATGGTCATAGATGTGGTTAGTTCGGATTTCATGAAAGAATCATCAAATATGGTGGCACCAAAGTTGTTTGACATGTTAAGTGCTGTTAATCGTGAAATTGGGCACAGACGTAAAAATTATTCTTTACTATTTGTAGTCGCATGACTGTTGCATATTAAGTTAGAGCACCACATTTCATATTAAGTTAGAGCACCACATTTCATAAAAGTGGTATGATGATTTCAAGCAATTAATGAGAGAGTTGATGCCACATGACAATTCTATGGTTAATAAATCATTTTTTTTTTAATTTCCCTTGTAAAGTAGTGCAAAAACAAAATTTTCCTTGATTTTGATCCTTTAATTCTGAAAATTTCTCTTCGGTCCTCTCTAATTGTGGAGTCTAATTCCACCCTTATTTGATAATTCAATAATAAAGGCTATATTTAATTCCGATAATTTTATCAAAGTGAGCATATAATAACATATCAATTATCAGACCAATTGATTTGCATCATGCAAACAGTAATGGATTTAGTAAAATTAGACTAGACTAATAAATACTTGCATAAGATAAAGGAAATTTATGCAAATTAAAGCACAAAAGGAAAAAAGAAGTTTCAAAATTATCTTTTTTTTTATAATAATTATAATCAAAAAAATTTGTATTCGTTGGAATTTTAAGTACTGAAATTTTACTATTTATTTTCCAAGAAAGAAATTAGTAGAAATGTGGAAGGGGCAATTTTTGGTTTTGAAGAAGTAATCATATTTTGGGTCTGGTTTCGTGGTGGGTGACCCGATCCAATTTTCGTCATTGAAGAAAAGAAATCGAAAAAATTAGGTTATCAAATTAGACTAAACGAGAGCAAAAACTGTTTACGCAGAGGAAGATAATCAAATTTCTCCCGAAAACTGCTTCTCTTTCGCTTTGTGCAGAGGCAGATAATCGATGATGTCTACCAGCAGCCGGAGATGCCTTACTGTTTTTCGGGTTCATCGGCCAATGTGTATTTTTGATTCCGCTTCTTATAGTAGTTTTAAAAGCAGTACATATTTGAGAGGTAAAAGCAAATCTGATTCTTTCCATAACATTCATGATGCTTTGGCTTCTTTTTATTTGATGCTTCGTAGTAATCCCTCACCTCCCGTTATGGAACTCAATAAAATATTATCTGCACTTGTTCGAATGAAACATTATGCTACTGTCATTTCTCTGTCTAAACAGATGGAAATGTTTGGAATTTCAAATGTTTTGGAATCACATATATTTATTCTTTGAGTACCTTTTGATTAACAATTGCTTCTGCATTCCTAGACCATGTGGATTTTTCGGGGTACTTCTCTGATCGGTAACAATCTTCAAAACTTGGTTTTAAGCCTGACATTGCTTAACGTCCTTACACCTTAATCCATGGTACTTGTAGGGAACTTTAAATTTGATGAAGCTGCTGGATTTGTTTTGATGATATTGTTGACAAGAAGTTCGGTACTTTCAATACCAGTGCCACATGTTTGTTACATATACCGGTATAAGTGTTGATTTGTGAATGTGTCTGTTGTTGTAGAATCTATCTCGTGGGATCCAAACTTCTCACTGTTCTTTGCTCGTACCTTTTCTGAGCGAAATGAATTCTGGTGTGTGAGAATCGTTTGTAAGCCCTGATTTGGTGTCATATAATTGGCTCATCATTGACAGCCTCGTGCAAGACCTAGATTTGTTATCCGAGGTGGCCATTAGAACCTCTTCTTGAAAATAAAGAAGCGAAGGTATCTTGCCATAATGTTGTGGACTCTAACAGGCACTCCTTAATCCGTGGTTCGTGCATGTCAAGCAGATGGAAGAAGCTTATATGTTGTGCTTTAACCTAAAATGTTGAGAGCAAACATCACACCAAATTATAACCATTACCATCTTTATACTTTGGTTGATGGGACTTGTAAGCGAAAGGAAAAGGTTTCAAAAGCTCATGATGTAGTCAAATTGATATTGCAGGGAGGATAACGAGTAGCCTGAGGTTAATCAGCCTACAATTCATGTCATGGGGACGGACTATGTCTACACAACCAAGTGGATCAAGCTAGAGAAAATATTTGACCTGATTAGTAAGCAAGGGTTGTCACACCTGATGTTCTTTTACGCGTTACAGCATCTTGATTTCATTGTTACTGTAGAGAGACCAAAGGGATTAGGTGCAGGCAATGCGGCTTTGAGGCAATGCGGCTTCTTGATGAAATGCCTTGCAAAGGCCTGATGCCTAACGATTTTACTTATAGTTCTCTTATACGTGGCTTGTGTAAAGCAAAGAGCCCTTGGGCTGCGCATAAGTTTTTTAAGAACTTGTGTGCTAGTGGCCATTCTCCAGATACTGTAACTTACTCAATTCTCATAGATGGCTTTTGTAAGCATAGCTGTCTTGATATGGCATTGGATCTATTTCATGAAATGCAAAAGAAATTATTGAAGCCTAACCTTATTGTTTATAATACTCTAATTGATGGTATGTTCAGAGCTGGAAAGGTTAAAAATGCAAAGGAATTGTTTTCTAGACTTTCCATAGAAGGGTTGCATCCTGATGTTTGCACATACAATACAATGGTCAATGGACTTAGTAAAGAAGGATTACTGGATGAAGCATTGAGGATTTAACTGGATGAAGCATTGAAGGTGTCAGGAAAATGGAAGGGAATGGGTTTTCTTGACCAAACAGTTGTCTTCTATATAAACGGTATTATTTTTCCAAGGATAATCTTCGAATCAAGATTTGCACATGGCAACAAATAACAATGATGGAAATGGATGGCAAAGGGGTTTCTGCACTGGGAGTTGGTAAGTAAATGAAGAATCCTGCTTGTAAACCAAAGCTTTTTTGGGCGCTTCTTTTAGAAAGTTCTCAAGCTGTGAAAGTTTGAGTTTGTAATTGTTAATGCAGTTGTGCATGAGGTATGTCTTCTGTTTTTGAGTTAATCAGTAGCTTTGTGGTTCCATTTATATTTGCTGCAGTGTGAGCCTTGGCAATAATTTGGAAGATTTATTAATTGTTTTTTTTTATTTGCTTTCTTTCTGCTTGTACACTTTGCTCTCACACCCATGGAACGCGGCAGTAGAAAAGCAGCACATCGATTAAGAAGAGGAAGACTAGTTGTTTATTTTTTCATTGTTTTAACTCTCCCTGTACATATTATGTGCCTCTTGACTGATAAATCTTGTAAATTTTCTTCCAAAATAGAGTTTTATTCTTGATTCCTTTGTTGTGTACATCTGAATACTTAGAGTTGTTAAGGGCTTTGTTCTGAAACAGTTAATGTGATTCTTTCAAGCTTTATATTGCCATATTATATTCAACTAATACTATTTTTTGTTTACGAAAAAGAAGACCTATTTTCAAGCTTTATATTTGCCTATTATATTCAAAACTAGTTTTGTTACGAAAAGAGACCTATTATATTTTTACTTGCTTTCTCTTGAATTTGCTATCAAGAGAAAAAAGGGAGCAGTGTTGTTTCTTTTCACTTGTTAAATTTGCTATCCAACATAATTTGTAATTTTTTTCCCCTTATTTTAGCAAAAATAACTGTCTTATTTTAGTAAATCTGTCTTCTCTTTCTCTGTCACTTGTTCTTCATTTTCCTTTTAATTCAAAATCTATTCCATCTTCTTTTCCTATTCCTGGTCCTCCTTATTCTATTGCTTTTGATGTTTCTTTACCTAATCCAGCACATTTTCCTCATTCCAGTTCTACTGAACTTTCTCAATTACCTATCTCCCTCCTATTGATTCTTCTTCAAATCCTGCATTTTCTCCTGTTTCTCAAAACCCTGTTCCTTTAAGAAGAAGTACAAGAAGTCTTTCCGAACCAGCATGTTAAAGGATTTTGTCAATATTGTCATTTCTCCATCAAGTTCTTTCTCTCCAGTACTGATTCAAGTTCATTTAGCTTTCATTCAAATAGCTAAAATTCATGAACCAACCACTTACCTTAAAGCCTCAAAAGATCTTAATTGGGTTAAGGCAATGACAGAAGAATTGACCGCTTTAGAAAATAATGGTACTTGGATTTTGACTACTTTGCCTAAGGGTAACATGCCATGGGTAATAAATGGATTTTTAAGATCAAATATAAGCCTAATGGAGTTATGTCAAAAAGATATGTTTATGGTCTTAGACAAGCTTCGAGGCAATGAAACCTTGAATTTACTACCTTTATTTTGAAATTGGGGTTTTGTCAATCTACTCATGATCAGTGTTCATTTATAAGATCTTACTGACCTTTATTTTGCGACCAATTGGGGTTTTGTCAATCTCACTCATTTGATTCAGTGTTTCATCTATAAAGATCTATTGTATAATTCATTTCTTAGTTATTCTGGTATTATGTTTGAATGTTATAATTACTGACGAAACTGATCATGGGTTTTGCGATTACTCTGTTAAACAAAATCGTCTTATGTAAAATCTTTAAAGAAGGATCCTTGGTTCTGCAAGAAATACTTTTCTGGGTATTGAATTATAGCCAGGTCTGATACGGCACTATTATACTTAGCAAAATTTATATTCTTGATCCGTGGTTTTCATGAAACGCTTTGCAAGATGCTAAGGCTTTCATTTTATCTTCCTCTTCGCTAGAGGTCTTAAAAATAGTCTCCTAAGATGACAGAGAATACGGCACTATTATTAGTTAGCAAAAATTTATTCTTGATGTGGTTCATGAAACTGGTTTGCAAGATGCTAAGGCTTCATTATCTCCTCTTCCTAGAGGTCTTAAATAGTCTCTAGATGAAGGAGAACTTTTAGATGTTGGTGAATTACTTTATCCCCTTTAACAAGACCCGACGTGAATTACTATGTTCACCATCTCAATCAATTTATGTCTTCTTCTAGACGACCTTATCTTTTGGTTACTCTGTATCTTGTTAAGTATTTAAATGGTCGTCCCTCAAGGGGTCTGATTTTCTTTGCTTCTAATAATTTGCAGCTCATAGCTTACCGTTATGTAGACTGGGCATCATGTTGCTTTGGAAGGAGGTCTCTCATGGGGTTTTGTGTATTTCTTGGAGATGCTTTAGTCTCTTGGAAGTCTAAAAAGTAGAAATAAATAAAATTTTTTAAAATTAAAATTTCTATTCAATTGAGGAATGATTTATTTATTGTTTAAATAAATAAAATCAAAACCCTTGAAGGTAAATTTGTCCATTTCTAATTTAATATAATAATAATAATAATAATATTATTATTATTATTATTATCACTCCCACTTTATAATGATTGTAATTATTCACTATTATTTATTATGCGTATATTTTTTTTACTAAAATCTTTTAACTAACTATGGCTTTTTTATTTTTCAGTTAAAATTATATATATTGTTAATTAAATTATTTTAATTGGTCATGACTAAGGATATTTTATAATTTTTAATTAAAATTTTTAATTGTCCCATGCTAAGGATATTTTTGGATATTTCAAACTTCACCAAGGTTATTTTTGAAAATCTTATTATTTTCTTATTTTTCCCACATTTTTATATAGTATAGATATATATAGTTAGATAGATTATAGAATATAAGTATTTCATAATTTGTTGTCAAAAAGAATATATATTTCATGTTGCAAATTCAAATTCATAATTACTAAATAATATCACTTATCAGATATTCATTATTTTTTATTTTTTAAAATAAATAAAATAAATATGTCACAATCCAAAACCATAGGCCGGACCGACACTAGAGCCCAAGTAAGCATAAGGTGTCCGAGGTCTGTAGTAAGCCTAAATCACGAAAATTTAACCATATCGATATGAATTTCAAACAGTCAGCTCATATTGTCATACACGATAAGTCTCATAATTATATTATAACCTAGCCCAAATCTAGCATCTTAAACATTTCATAACTCGGGCCTAATTATAATACAAAACATCCATAACAGGGCTAATTGGTTCATGCATTCACATGAACGAATAACTAAACACCCACATAAGTTTATCGGTTACAATCCTACAACTACGAAGTTCATTAACAGATAGATATAAATAAGTTCTCGTACATATAGCTACATAATTTAAATAACTGCTGACTCTAAAGGTTACTTTTTTAGCTCTGTGGTGGAGGAAACAGAGCTTTAATCGAAACATTGAGGAATCTACTTCCTAGAAAATTGAATAAAAGAGAGTGAGTTTTATAATGAATAATGATTAATGCATAAAACAGGCATTCACACGAAATTCTTCCTAAAATACTAGAAATGAACACAACCAATCAAGCATATGGCACACATCAGCATCCACAAGTAATCGCACCTTCAAATAATCAAACAAGTGTCAGTGGTATCACCGAAACCCCCGACGAGTTGTCCTCGCACATGACTTGTCCTCTCAAAAAGAGATAAGGTTTTCGAATATCATTGTCGTTTCTCTATATTTTGTATTATAAACGGAAATGTTCTATTTTTGCTTAATGCGATTGTTGTTTCATACGCAAAGGAAGAGAGAGAGAGAGGCTTTTGGATGGGGATTGGTGAGGTTGTTTTTTTATTTTTAAAATTATTGATGTGTAAATAAAATTTGGTCCCATTTTTATTTACTTATCCTACTCTATTTATTTGTAATACACACGCAGTTGCCAATATCGAAAGGTGTGGGAAGGTGTTTACTTGGTGCAAAATTTTTGACTTTAGGTGCATAATTAGTTTCCGGCAAAGTTGGGGATGCCGTAGGGTTAATTTATTAAAGTTCCGGGGGCAATCTATGTATTTGGCCATTTTTATATTATACGCACATAAAATATTAAACATTAGATTATTAACAATGAATTTACTATTTTTAATGCTACTAGTTTTTTTTTATGATGTGCGTTGCACGTTGAGTTTGCTTGTTATATATTCGTTTAATTTTTTTATTTATGCAATACTGAAGTATAAATTCTTATTTAGATTAAAATAAATATAATAAATATTTTTTTTAACATTTCTTACAATATAAAATCTAATTGAAAATAAAACAATATTTTTGCTTCTTTGTTTAATAAAAAATATAATGTTATTATTAATTAATTATATAAATAACTAAAAATTTGCACTTACCATGTTGCAAAATATTTTATAATTTGACGATACTATGACATTAATCTATTAAATCAATATTTGCTTTATATAAAATATAAATTTGAAAATTGACATCAATTATTCTAATAAGATGAAGTTAAGTTGAAATTTTATCAATGGTATGTAACATTTTGGGTTCATGTGTTTTGCACAAAATCTAAAATTAAATTGCTTAAAGTTCCATATAGAGATCAATGTGCAAATAATAATATTGGTAATGGAAGATCATTTCTCAAGTTTATAAATAAATATAAATGAGATTAAATTCAAATTTTCAAAGTCCTACATTATTACAAAAATTTGAAAAAAATTAAAATCTCAAAAGTCTAATTATCTTTATATCAATTTTAAAATTGCTTTTAAAAAAGTACATCTAATTAAATCATAAAAAATAAATGAAATTTGATAAATTTTGTTTTTAAAAAAATAGAATGAACTATTGAATAAGAAGAGAGCTCTTGAATTTTCTCTTTATTTTATCTTTAAATTTAAAAGCTGAAAATGAAAATGCCTAAATAATCACTTTTTCAAAAAGATTTCATTAGACTAAAAAAGGAAAAACATTCTTATTTAATATATTAGTAAAATACTATAATTCTATTCTTTTTGTTAAATTAGAATTTAGCTAAAATTACTATAATTCTATTCCTTTTTGTTAAATTAGAATTATAAAAATTTTTAAAACTTACAACACATCTAAAAAATCAATACTATTAATGCTGTAAATAATCTAAATAAGTTCTAAATCAAAGCAGAAAAATTAAAAAAATTTATTTTTAATTATTAGTATTATAACTAATAGACTTTCAATAGCTAAATTAATTTAACCACTTTTACTAATAGACTTTAATAGTAAATTATTTAACCATATTTTAAAAAATTCAGAACATAATAAATTAAAAGAATTTAAGTTTCATTTTCAATACTTAAATTCATGTTTTTAATTTACCTCCTAAAAAGTAATATATCATATGAGAATCTATAATTAATAATATCAATATAAGTAATTATAAAAATTATTAGACAATAATACTGCAAGATCAAATATATAATATAAATATACATATTTTATCAAATTACAATGCACAAAAAATATAAGTAAAAGGATATTTAAAAGGAAAAATGGAATCTGTTTTCTCAACTTAAAAGGTCCTTTTAAAGGATAAATGAATATATTTTCTCCAATTAGAATGCATTAAAAATCTAACTAAAAGAATATATTTGAAAATTTTAATTAAACTAAGGTTAGTTAAAAAATTTTATTATTCCTCCCTTTCCCACATTTATATATAGTGTAGATAGATTATTATTATTATTATAGATAAATAGATTATAAATTATAGATTGATACATGAAATATTGAAAATCTATTATAAATTAATATTTTTTTCTATTCTATAGTCTTTAATACTTCGAAATTTTAATTATTGCATTATCTCTAGATATTTAAATTATATAATAATCTATATTAATTGATGTTTAATTGTAAATTATTCTTCTAATTTCACGTGTCATGCTGTTAGTATTGGTTGGGATCTTTTTTTTTTTTCTACCTTTTCCTTTTCCTTTTTATATCTTCAAGAATAAAATAGGTGATTGTTAACGGTTTCATTATATAGTCTTCATATTCATCGAATTATAGAGATTGATAATAGAAATAATACTTAATGAATTTTCTCCAAAAAAAAAAAGAATTAAAATAATATTTATCAATTCAACGTATATTATTTTGTTGCTTTTGATATCAATTTTGTCCAATGTAGTGGAGCTTCCAATATATTATCACGTAAAATAGATTTAAATAAGTGAAATAATATAAAATTGTATAAATTATTTAATTGATATTTGGATAAATTGGTAAATTAATATTAAAAGATTAAAAGTCAAGCTTTGTTGTTACAACCCGTTTCCATGAGCCGAACCAGCACTAAGACCCAAGTAAGTTTAAGGCTCCGAGACCCGTAGTAAGCCTAACTACAAAATTCAACTAAATTAATGTAAATCTCAAACATTAAACCCATATTTATATTATACTTTGGCCCATTATAACATCTTATACCTTACATAGTTCGAGTCCAATTTGTAATATACTACATTCATGTCATGAACTTCCCATTAATACATAAACATAGGAAGATAAATAAAACATTTATGGGCACATAAATTATCATATGTCATGAACTTCCCATTAATACATAAACATAGGAAGATAAATAAAACATTTATGGGCACATAAATTATCATACTTACCTTATCACATGACTAGCAAAACATATGACCTACAACTATGGAATTCTCTAGCAGATAAATACAAAATTATAACATTTTATACCTTACATAGTTCGAGTCCAATTTGTAATATACTACATTCATGTCATGAACTTCCCATTAATACATAAACATAGGAAGATAAATAGTACATAAACATAGGAAGATAAATAAAACATTTATGGGCACATAAATTATCATACTTACCTTATCACATGACTAGCAAAACATACGACCTACAACTACGGAATTCTCTAGCAGATAAATACAAATAAATTTTCATACAAATAGTTAGTAAATAAATTAATTAATGAAATTAGAAGATCCTCTTCTAGCTCTACAGTGAAGGGAAACATAGCTTTACCAGGACAAGAGAAATCTATTTCCTGGAAAGGTTAAACAAATAGATGTGAGTTTAAAATGAATAATAATTATTGCACAATACATGCATTCACACGAATGTGTAAATATATCGATCTAGTCGTCTAACTAGTATATGCTCATACAGACAGTTCATTACAAATGGCTACAAACATCACTTCACCACTTATTTATCAACTTCACATAATCACCATCAAACGTGGAAATTTGGGTCAGGAATTGGTCTGTGGCGTCACTGAAACCCCCAATGAGCCGTCCTCACATATGGCCCACCCTCTCATAATGTGTGCACCAGGGAGCCGATCCCCCATACATGGCCGACCGGTCTAATCCTCACTTGAACAGCCCTCTCATTATTTTTCCATTCTCTTTTTT